AGGATGCTCTCCACTGCACACCTGTAGAAGGAGGTGAGGACTGAGCTTCCCAGACCAGCTCGCCTCAGCCGTCTGAGGAAGTAGAGTCTCTGATGAGCTTTCTTGATCAGGCTGGTGGTGTTGTTGCTCCAGCTGAGGTTGTCATTCATGTGTACACCCAAGTACTTGTAGCTGGAGACCACTTCCACCGCAGATCCTCTTATGTTCAGGGGGGTGTAGGTGTTTTTGTTCCTTCTGAAGTCCACAATCATCTCCTTTGTCTTCTTCACATTGATGTGAAGGTTATTCTCTCTGCACCAGCTCTCCAGGTGTTCCACCTCTTGCCTGTAGCTGGACTCATCATTGTTTGTGATGCATCCCACCACCGCTGTATCATCTGCAAACTTTACAATGTGACAGCCTGAATGGGTAGCTGCACAATCATACGTGAGCAGAGTAAACAGGAGGGGGCTCAACACACATCCCTGAGGAGAGCCAGTGCTGAGGGTTGTGGTGGAGGAGGAGAGGTTGTGGATCCTCACTAACTGTGGTCTGTTTGTTAAAAAGTCTAGTACCCAGTTGCAAATGGAGGGGCTTAGTCCTAGTGTGGATAGTTTGTCCATCAGGGTTTGGGGGATCATGGTGTTGAAGGCGGATGTGAAGTCCACAAAGAGCATACGGACGTAAGAGTTTTTCTGCTCCAGGTGGTTGAGCGCAGTGTGGACCACAGAGGAGATTGCATCCTCTGTTGATCGGTTCTCACGGTATGCATACTGATGAGGGTCCTTGTTGATGTTTGTTTTGATGTGAGTCATGACCAGTTTTTCGAAGCATTTAGCGACTATCGGGGTGAGGGCCACTGGCCGATAGTCATTCAGACCAGTCACTGTAGAGCTTTTTGGGACTGGGATGATGGTGGCAGTCTTCAGGCAGGTGGGAACCGTCTCCAGGGTAAGTGAGGTGTTAAAGATGTCTGCCAGCACCTCACAGAGCTGATCAGCACATTCCTTCAACACTTTTCCGGGGATGTTGTCTGGGCCAGTTGCTTTGTGCGGATTAATCCTCCTGAAGGTACTCCTTACTTCTGCTGAGGTCACGCTGAGATGCTCTTCGTCCGGTGGTGAGGCGAGTCTGGTGCTGGGTGGTCTGTTCGGGTCTTCAAAGCGTGCATAGAACTTGATGAGGGCATCAGGCAGAGATGGGTCTTTGGGGCATTGTTCACTCCTTCCTTTATAATCTGTTATGCACTTAATGCCCCTCCACATGCTCCGATGGTCTTGTGAGATGAATTGACCCTCGATCCTCTTTGCATATGTGGCCTTGGCCCTCTTAATACCAGCAACCAGCTCTTTTCTTGTCCTACTCAGCTCCTCTGAGTTTCCAGACCTGAAGGCAGTGTTCCTGGCTTCCAGCAGGGTACGCACCTCTGCATTCAGCCAAGGTTTTCTGTTTGGGTAGCTTTTAACATTTCTGATAGTGGAGACGGTGTCAGTACATGTACTAATGTAACCCAGAACTGAGGATGTGTATTGGTCAAGATCAAGCGAACCTCCATTTTCAGCAGCTTCTCTGAAAACCTGCAAGTCTGTTCGATCAAAACAATCTCTCAGTATGGGGCCACTGTCCTGGATCCAGCATTTAACTTCCATTTGTACCGGTCTGGAGCGTCTCAGCGGGGGCATGTAAGCAGGAGCCAGGAAGATTGAGATGTGGTCTGACAGTCCTAGGTGGGGGCGGGGTTCGGCTTTGTATGCATCTTTTACGTTCGTGTAAACACGGTCCAGCGTGCGGTCTCCACGTGTCGGAATCGTCACATGCTGATTAAAGCTTGGGAGACAGTCCTTTAGATTCACGTGGTTAAAGTCTCCGGCTACAATGTAAAGAGCCTCGGGGTGTTTGCTCTGCAGCAAGCTGATGATATCATGAAGCTCCTGTAGTGATTCATTAGCATTAGCGTCCGGAGGAATGTAAACAACTGTGATAAAAGTCACTGTGAACTCTCGGGGTAGATAATGTGGCTGACATTTCACTGTTATTTGCTCCAAAGCCTTCGAGCATGAGCTATTTACAACAGTACAGTTCGTGGACCAACTTTTACTCACGTAAATGCACACTCCGCCTCCCCGTGATTTCCCCGTTAGCTCGCTGCAGCGGTCTGCTCGAAAAAAAAGTATGTCATCCAGCTGGAAGACTGTGTCCGGCGTTTCGCTTGTAATCCACGTTTCTGTGAGGCAAAGCACTGCACACTTCTTCATCTCTTCTGAGGCGCCCGCTCTCAGACGAAGTAAATCCATCTTGTTGTCCAACGAGCGGACATTCGACAGAAAGAGAGACGGCATGGGGAGTTTACCGGCTTTAGCGTTAGCTCGTAGCCTCACCATAACCCCCGACCGGCATCCTCTCCTCTTAAGCCGGGAGCAGCGCTTCCTCTTCTGCCCGCTGGAACGCCTCTGCTGCAGCTTCCAGGTAGATGACTTTAAGATCTGCATTCTGCCGAGCGTAGCTTTGAGTTTGTTGCTGATTTCTGCTATATTTCGTGGCAAATCCGCTCCTATTCTCATCAGTTCGGTTCGGCTATAGTTCACACGCATAAATCGCGCGGAGTCAGGCACAGAGTCAATATCAAAACTTCTAAAAACTGGGATAGTACCGGGAGCCTGTGAAGCTGCAACTGCTCTGAGCGCGGCCATCTTGGAGATCTTCAGTAAAATAAGGTGAGAAACGACAGAGTTGTAACAAAGACCTGATGATTATTATCAGCTACTAGCACATTCTACCTCAGTATCTCTGAAACTAAGTCATGGTCAAATGTTCTGAAGTTTGTTTCAAAGCTTTTAAGCTTTTCAACACTGTGGTTTTGTCGCCATCTGGTGGCTCAAAGTGTAAAGAGTAGCTTGAATTCTCCAGCTGATATGAAGAGCTTCATGCCAGATGGACATTTGTTGGAGCTGACGGTTTAACAACAAGCAACGTTTCTGTCAACCCCTCGCTGTCGTCGTGTTGCTTTGAACGTGCAGTAAAGTAATAAAGTTATGGTTATTTGATGAATGAATACTTAAAACGAATGAATGACTATGTTCAGTTTGTGCTGCAGGTTTCCTGCCTTTATGACCTCTTGTGATATATGTTCACTGTGAGATCAGTTCATAATTTATGTAAATATACACACTGTGGTGGTGGCCATCTTGGATTTTGAAGCGACAACCCTTTCTAAAATGACCTCTCTTTTGCCTCGATGTAGCCACACACAAAAATGGAAGTAATCACCTCATCCCCCCCTCCCCCTCCCCCACCAAGTTATTCTCACAACATGGATGGAATGACACACGGTCAGACGAAGGGTATTTTCAATTCCTCTAAATCAGGGCTATTCAACTAAACTGCTCAGGGGCCCACAGTTACTGAAAGCCAAGATCTCAAGGGCTGGACATCAGCAGTTATTCTCATTAAGTAAGTTTGTTTTATTAGTTTTATTTTAAAATGAACCCATTCGTGGGCTTAACTGAGCTCACCCGTGGGCCTGATTTGGCCCCTGGGCCACCAGTTGAATAGCCCTGTTCTAGAAGTACTTCTCGAGAATAACCCGTCTCATCTCAAGGGACTAAATGAAGTTGACTTTTCTTAAGCTGGGCAGAAGTGAGAGTTCATCAACATGGTTGTGGACCGAGTGTGAGCGGAGTTGTGCAGTCACCTGCTGAACAGGACGTTGGGTGCTGAAAGGACGCGGGTGGCATCAGCCTTGACACGAGCCCTTCTTCTTCTTCACTGTCAGAATCTGAGATGACCACCGGAGGTTTGGGACCTGCAGCACATGCTGCTCTGCTCTGCTTGCTCAAACCACTGGGACCTAGCAGTAAAAAAACATTAAACAAGTTGATAAATAAACCGTGAAGTGTTCTGTTGTGAATACAAAGGTAACATTTTTGTTCTTTATAGTTAAAACAGAGATTTTCCAAACCTGCTTGTTCCTCATCAGAAGGTTGTGATGGTCCAGTTTGATGACTATACCCAGCCATGTTCTCCATTCCTACTTCACCTTCTGATTCCTTCAAATCTATCTGAGGCTCCGCCTCCATTTTCTCTTCTTCAAAGACAACTTCGTCTTCGTCATCTTCCTCGTCTTCCTCCATTCCATTTATTTCTACTGCTTCTATAGAAAACAATTAAAAAATATATGCAACTAGACTCAACAAGACACAGAGTGTACAGAGGGTTTCAGAGCAAGTCCAGCACCCCGAGACTGGAGGGGGTCAGAAGACTAGTGATCTTCTGACCCCTGAGACTGAAGGGGTCAGAAGACTCGTGATCTTCAGACCCCTGAGTATGGAGGGGTCAGAAAACTAGGGAGCTTCAAACCCCTGAGACTGGAGGGGTCAGAAGACTAGTGATCTTCAGAGCCATGAGACTGGAGGGGGTCAGAAGACTAGTGATCTTCAGACCCCTGAGAATGGAGGGGGTCAGAAGACTAGTGATCTTCAGAGACCTGAGACTGGAGGGGGTCAGAAGACTAGTGATCTTCAGACCCCTGAGAATGGAGGGGGTCAGAAGACTAGTGATCTTCAGAGACCTGAGACTGGAGGAGGTCAGAAGACTAGTGATCTTCAGACCCCTGAGAATGGAGGGGTCAGAAGACTAGTGATCTTCAGACCCCTGAGACTGAAGGGATCAGAAGACTAGTGATCTTCAGAACCTTGAGACTGGAGGGGTCAGAAGACTAGTGATCTTCAGAGCCCTGAGACTGGAGGGGGTCAGAAGACTAGTGATCTTCAGAGCCCTGAGACTGGAGGGGTCAGAAGACTAGTGATCTTTAGAGCCCTGAGACTGGAGGGGTCAGAAGACTAGAAATCTTCAGAGCTCTGAGACTGGAGGGGCCAGAAGACTAGTGATCTTCAGACCTCTGGGACTGGAGGGGCCAGAAGACTAGTGATCTTCAGACCTTTGGGACTGGAGGGGCCAGAAGACTAGTGATCTTCAAACCCCTGGGACTGGAGGGGCCAGAAGACTAGTGATCTTCAGAGCCACCATAGAGGGTGAAACAACAACAGTGTTTCCCCTATCATTATACAAGCGAGGTGCCCCATCCCGTCAACAGAACTGAGCACCCCGCCTACGAAACCAAACTTGCCCCCCCACTGACATAGCATTAAGCTAGTGACGCAAAATACAGGCTCTCTAGCTAAAAAGCTAAAGGCAGTGCTCACGTTGCCTCTTCTCTCAAGCTTTGTCCCCCCATCAACAAAAATCACAGATGAGATGAGCACCCCGCCATGGCATGTTAACTAGGGGAAACACTGAACGATGATCCTTGAGACCATCAGGAGGAAAGCCCCACATGATGACCTGATGAGTGACTGTCTAAGGCAGCAGGAGAGGAGGAACCGAAGGAGCCATCATGGAAAGATAAGCTTTCTTACTATCACTGTACAACGCCTCAACTGTACAACGCCTCCATCCAGGGCAAAGACTCCTCCCGGACACAGTGGGGGCAGTCTATGACCAGGCCCCTCAGCATAAAGTCAGTTTTTAATACTGAGTGACGTGAACTTGTTCTTATTTTGACAGTTTAAAGTTGGATGAAGAACTTCCTTCACTAAAGCATAACTTCCTGTTTAACTGGCAGATTTTGACATGTTGCTTAACGATGGCAGTTTTGTGACAGGTTGTGATTATTTGGTCTTGAGAAAGGCGATACAGGACTACAGTTTTCTTCAACGTGATGGTCTGGGGTGGACCTACCGTTTTGCTGCTGCTGTCTTTGGTTGATGTTGACAGGTGGAGCAGCAGGAGGCATGTTGGCCTCGTTGGGATGATGGTTGTTGTCGTTGTTCGAGTTCTGGTTGCTGACCAGAGCAGAGGACACACCAATCCCAGTGCCGGCACTCAGACCCACTCTGGCACAACCCTAGAAGATACAAAATGTTTCAAGGATTCAAGGTTCTTTATTTGTCATTCCACCATATGTGGTACTTGTGGTGGAACAAAATTATGTACACAGGGCCCCAGTTACCCATCCATCCATTTTCTTTACCCGCTTATTCCATTTTGGGTCACGGGGGTCGCTGGTGCCCATGTCCAGCAATCACTGTGCGAGGGGCGGGGTACACCCTGGACGGGTCGCAAGTCCATCACAGGGCCACACAGAGACAAACGAGACAAACAACCATTCACTCTCTCACTCACACCTAGGGACAATTTAGAGTTACCAATCAGCCTAACATGCATGTTTTTGGTCTGTGGGAGGAAACCGGAGTACCCGGAGAAAACCCACGCATGCACGAAGAGAACATGCAAACTACACCCAGAAAGGCCCCTGGACCGGGGTTTGAACCAAGGACCTGCTCGCTGAGAGGCAGCAGCTCTACCAGTTGCGCCACCGTGCTGCCCGGGCCCCAGTTACATACAACAAAAATATTAAAATGTAAAAGAAAAACAGCAATAAGATCTAAGATATGAACTAAGAAAAACACTAATAAAAATACACCAAGCACTAGCAGCATAAAAACAATACACCGAAAACAAACACTTTGTAAACATATTGCTCATGTTCAACAAAGTTAAGTCAGGTCCTCTGGACATTTTTCTTGTGTTGAAACATTTCGTCTTTCATCCAAAAGACTTCATCAGTCCAAGGAGTTGCAACAAACTTAGTCCCATAAGTAGCACACACACATAGTGGGTCAATCAGTTTGATGGTGATAAGATGGGTTCTTATAATGCCGATGTCTTACACCTCAATGTTAATGAATTCTTAACAATTCTTCAACAAATACAGATTAATCTCAGCTAATCCAACATAAAATTTTCAGTTGATATCTGTAAAATTGAAAACAGTAATTTAGTGTTTAATGGTCAGTTGGCTGCGGTGGCCAAATTAAACCAAGTTTGGTAAAAGCCAAAGATTTGCATACACACAGCCAAGCACTTAGTTATAAAGATAAATTACCGGTAGTCTCAAAAGTAGTCACACAAGTGTACAAGATATGTTTGCAATAAGATCCACAGATGTACCACAACTTTTACAAATGCATAAAAAGGCTTTTCAATTGTACACATATCAAACTGCATGAGGAGGATTATTCTGCACATTCAAACCAAATTCCAAAAAAGTTGGGACACTAAACAAATTGTGAATAAAAACTGAATGCAATGATGTGGAGATGGCAAATGTCAATATTTTATTCGTAATATAACATAGATGACAGATCAAAAGTTTAATCTGAGTAAATGTAACTTTTTAAAGAAAAAATATGTTGATTCAAAATTTCAGTGTCAACAAATCCCAAAAAAGTTGGGACAAGTAGCAATAAGTGGCTGGAAAAAAGAAATTGAGCATATAACGAACAGCTGGAAGACCAATTAACACTAATTAGGTCAATTGACAACATGATTGGGTATAAAAAGAGCTTCTCAGAGTATCAGTGTCTCTCAGAAGCCAAGATGTTATTGTTCACCATTGTTGCGCAGAAAGATAGTGCAGCAATAACAGAATGGTGTTACCCAACGTAAAATAGCAAAGACTTTTAAGTTATCATCATCAACCGTGCATAACATCATTAAAAGATTCAGAGAATCTGGAACAATCGCTGTGCGTAAGGGTCAAGGCCGTAAAACTCTACTGGATGCTCGTGATCTCCGGGCCCTTAAACGTCACTGCACCTCAAACAGGAATGCCACTGTCAAGGAAATAACAGAATGGGCTCAGGAATACTTCCAGGAAGCATTGTCAGTGAACACAATCCACCGTGCCATCCGCCGTTGCCAGCTGAAACTCTACAGTGCAAAGAGGAAGCCATTTCTAAGCAAGTTCCACAAGCTCAGATGTTTGCACTGGGCCAGGGGTCATTTAAAATGGAGTGTGGCAAAATGGAAGACTGTTCTGTGGTCAGATGAGTGACGATTTGAAGTTCTTTATGGAACACAGGGACGACATGTCATCCGGACCAGAGAGGACAAGGATAGGCCAAGTTGTTATCAACACTCCGTTCAGAAGCCTGCATCACTGATGGTATGGGGTTGCATGAGCGGTTGTGGCATGGGTAGCTTGCATGTCTGGAAAGGCACCATTAATGCAGAGAACTATGTTCAGGTTCTAGAACAACATACAAGTCCTTCTCAAAAAATTAGCATATTGTGATAAAGGTCATTATTTTCCATAATGTAATGATAAAAATGAAACTTTCAAATATTTCAGATTCATTGCACACCAACTGAAATATTTCAGGTCTTTAATTGTTTTAATACTGATGATTATGGCATACAGCTCATGAAAACCCAAAATGCCTGTCCCAAAAAATTAGCATATTTCATCCCACCAATGAAAGACAAGTGTTTTTAATACAAAAAATGCCAACCTTCAAATAATCATGTTCAGTTATGCACTCAATACTTGGTCAGGAATCCTTTTGCATGAATGACTGCTTCAATGCAGCGTGGCATGGAGGCAATCAGCCTGTGGCACTGCTGAGGTGTTATGGAGGCCCAGGATGCTTCTATAGCGGCCTTAAGCTCATCCAGAGTGTTGGGTCTTGCGTCTCTCAACTTTCTCTTCACAATATCCCACAGGTTCTCTATGGGGTTCAGGTCAGGAGAGTTGGCAGGCCAATTGAGCACAGTAATACCAGGGTCAGTAAACCATTTACCAGTGGTTTTGGCACTGTGAGCAGGTGCCAGGTCGTGCTGAAAAATGAAATATTCATCTCAATAAAGCTTTTCAGCAGATAGAAGCATGAAGTGCTCCAAAATCTCCTGATAGCTAGCTGCATTGACACTGCCCTTGATAAAACACAGTGGACCAACACCAGCAGCTGACATGGCACCCCAGTGACTGTGGAAACTTGACACTGGACCTCAAGCAATGTGAATTCTGTGTCTCCTCTCTTCCTCCAGACTCTGGGACCTTGATTTCCAAAGGAAATGCAAAATTTACTGTAATCAGAGAACATAACTTTGGACCACTCAGCAGCAGTCCCAGGCGAGATGCTTCTGACGCAGTCTCTTGTTCAAAAGTGGCTTGACCTGGGGAATGCGGCACCTGTAGCCCATTTCCTGCACACGCCTGTGCACAGTGGCTCTGGATGTTTCTACTCCAGACTCAGTCCACTGCTTCCGCAGGTCCCCCAAGGCCTGGAATCGGCCCTTCTCCACAATCCTCCTCAGGGTCCGGTCACCTCTTCTCGTTGTGCAGCGTTTTCTGCCACACTTTTCCCTTCCCACAGACTTCCCACTGAGGTGCCTTGATACAGCACTCTGGGAACAGCCTATTCGTTCAGCAATTTCTTTCTGTGTCTTACCCTCTTGCTTGAGGGTGTCAATGATGGCCTTCTGGACAGCAGTCAGGTCGGCAGACTTACCCATGATTGCGGTTTTGAGTAATGAACAAGGCTGGGAGTTTTTAAAAGCCTCAGGAATCTTTTGGAGGTGTTTAGAGTTATGTCGTTGATTCAGATGGTTAGGTTAATAGCTTGTTTAGAGAACCTTTTCATGATATGCTAATTTTTTAGGACAGGCATTTTGGGTTTTCATGAGCTGTATGCCATAATCATCAGTATTAAAACAATTAAAGACCTGAAATATTTCAGTTGGTGTGCAATGAATCTGAAATATATAAAAGTTTCATTTTTATCATTACATTATGGAAAATAAAGCCGGAAAAGGGTAGAGTGCCCTCTCCGGGTCAGGGAGGAGGTCCTACCCCAAGTGGAGGAGTTCAAGTTTCTTGGGGTCTTGTTCACGAATGAGGGAAAAATGGAGCGTGAGATCGATAGGCGGATAGGTGCAGCATCTGCAGTGAAGCGGGCGCTGTACAGGTCTGTCGTGGTGAAGAGAGAGTTGAGTCAAAAGGCGAAGCTCTCAATTTACCGATCGATCTACGTTCCCACCCTCATCTATGGTCACGAGCTTTGGGTTGTGACTGAAAGAATGAGATCTCGGATACAAGCGGCCGAAATGAGTTTTCTCCG